AGTTTGTTTTATCTATGATCTCTTTCAACTTTTATTATACATTTACGCATTCAATGAACTAGTATATATTTCGCGATGCACGGAGGAGCTCATATTTTAAACATTTTTTTAGACTTTATTTTAAATATAATTCTTTATATTTTTCACATATCATCTATTATGGAAACAAAATAAATACAAACAATGAAAAATATATATTATAAACACTTCTCTTTATACAATATTTTTTATTTAAGGAATATTATTAAACCTTACGATTTTGATTTTTTTTTTTTTTTTAAAATCAATTATCCAATATATGATTGTTAATATACCAAAAATAATGGAATGAATCCAAACTTTAAAGTAAAGCTATTTTGATTTTTTTTTTACAAATCAAAATCATCCAAATTTTTTTAATTTCAGAAAAATTTGACAAGTTTGTTAATGAGATAAATCAAGTTATACAAATGATTAATTAGTTAAAATATTATATTAATTGTATTTTCAGTCATCCAATTATATAAATGTGGATAAAAAATTATTATACTAATTAGTTTGTTAGGAATATGATTATATGGAAGTTAAGATAAAATGAAATGTAACCAAAAAATTGTTCGTGGTCTTTTCCTTTAAATGTTTGAATTTAAAAATCTAATAACCAAATTTAGATTATATCACCTAAAGAAAAACTAAATAGTAATAATAATGTTTATGAATATATTTAAAAATTTAATTTTGAATTTCAAATAGAGTAAAAGACGGAATAATTCAATTTTGCTTTCAAAAAGTTTTTAAAGTGTTTAATATTCTGGGAAGTATGACCGTAAGAATAATTTACTATTTTAATTTAAAAATTTTTGGCAAGTTTGGTAATGAGATTCGGTTAAACAAAATATTAATTAGTTTAATATTATATTAATTATATTTTGAAAATTTCGGTTAGATAAATATAATTATATTAATTAGTTTGTTAGGAATGTGATTATATGGAAGTTAAGATAAAATGAAATGTACCAAAAAATTTGCTTGTTATCTTTTCCTTTAAATGTTTGAATTTAAAAATCTAATAACCAAATTTAGATTATAACACGTAAGAAAAAGAATAAATAATAAATTTTATTAAAGAGAAATCAATAATATTTATCAGTTAAATAATAAATAATTAACATTTATACCTAAGAAAAAATAAATAGTATTATAACTTAAAAATATATCTTAGAATTTTTATTAAATAAAGTAAAAGGATGGATTACTCTTTTTTTTTTTAAAAAAAAAAAACTTCTGTAAATGTTTAATATATTTGTAAGTATCTCCGTAAGAAAATCATATCATATCATTTTAATTTCAAAAAAAAAATAAAATTAGCAAGTTTGTTAGACATAATTCCGGTTAGATAAATAAATAATTAGTTAAGATATTATATTAATTATATCATAAAAAATCAGTTAGATATTGTAGATAAAAAATATAATATTAATTAGTTTGTTAGGAATGTGATTATATGAAAATCAAAATAAAATAAGATTTACCAAAAAAATCTGTTTGTGATCTTTTTCCTTTAAATGTTTGAATTGAAAAATCTAATAACCAAATTTAGATTATATCAGGTAAGAAAAAAAATAAATAATAAACAATTATTAAAAAGATAAATCAATAATATTCTTCACTTAGATAATAAATAAGTATTTACACGTAAAAAAAATAAATAGTAATATATTTAAAAATATAACTTAGAATATCAAATAAAGTAAAAGACGGGATAACTCATTTTTTTAAAAAAGTTTCTAAATGTTTAATATATTGGTAAGCACCTCCATAAGAATAATTATACCATTTTAATATAAAAAAAAATTGGCAAATTTGTTAGAGAGACAAATCCGGTTAGATAAATGATTAATTAGTTAAGATATTATATTAATTATAACAAAAAATTGGTTAGATAATGTAGATAAAAAATATAATATTAATTAGTTTGTTAGGAATGTGATTATACAAAAAATCAAGATAAAATGAAATTTACCTAAAAAACTTTTTTTAGGATCTTTTTCTTTAAACATTTGAATTTAAAACTTTAATACCAATTTTAAATTATATCACATAAGGAAAAAATAAATAATAAACATTTATTAATATATTAAAATATGTAATTTTGAATTTCATATAAAGTAAAAGATATGATAATTCAAATTTATTTTTAAAAATATTCTAAAAGAATTAATATTTTAGTAGTTATATCCGTAAGAATAATCGTATAGTTAATCAAATAAAATAATATTAATTATATCTTAAAAATTAAAATACCCGATCAGATGACTTGGATAAAAAAAATGTTATATTAATTAGTTATTAGGAATGCGTTTATATAGAAGTTAAGCTAAAATGGAATGTACCCAAAATATGTGCTTGTAATCTTTCCTTTAAATGTTTGAATTTATTTTTTTCAAAAAAATTGAATAAGAATCATGGTGAGGATTCTCCCAAAAATTTCAAAAAAAAAAAAAAAAATCCTTTATTGGTAAAAGACGAAAAAATAAGCGGAAACTTACATACTATTTTTGTATTTTTTTCTTCTCTTTATTATATAGTTATAGATTTTAGCATATAGAGACGGTAAGATTATCTACTAAGCAAAATTGAATTTATTTTTTTTCAAAAAAATTGAATAAGAATCATGGTGAGGATTCTCCCAAAAATTTAAAAAAAAAAAAAATCGTTTATTGGTAAAAAAGGAAAAAATAAGCGGAAACTTACATACTATTTTTGTATTTTTTTCTTCTCTTTATTATATAGTAATAGATTTTTTAGCATATAGAGACGGTACGATTATCTACTAAGCAAAAAAAAAAAAAAAATTCAAAATAAATAAATAGAATAAACCTTAAAAAAATTGTTACACCACCCTTCTTTGAAAGCGAAAAAGTAATGAAAGAAAAAATGTATTATTAACAATATTATAACACCTGGGACATTGACATGATGCAGATTAGAAAGCTTAAGATACTACATTGATAGAAGTTATTTATCATCTCTTTCACCAATGAGTTCATATAAGGTCCCAAAGTTAAGCATTGTTGGACCAATGTGCATTATAATGTCAAAGATAAAAATATTACGCAAAAGAACCATGAATGTATAATTCATTTGTTTAAGATAGTCTTGAATGCTCATATAAAAAGAGTAGTGCATATGTAATAATGTTTAAAATATCTTCAATTATGTTATTGTTCACTTATATTTTTTAAATAAATTTTCTTATTTTATATCATTACATCTATTGAAAAAAAAAAAAATATCTAAGTATTAAGAATTAAGTAAGAGAAAAAATATTCAAGCATACCTCAGATTTCATGTTTTACATGTTATCGACAAAGATTAAGTAAAAAATACTCTCACTGTAACAACACAATAATAAAAAAGACAATATTGAATAAAAAATATTTCTAAGAGAAAACATTCAAACAACGTTGAATAAAAAATATTTCTAATATATAAATACAATATATATTAGCATAAAAATACATTTATACCATGTGTATTATTAAAGGTGGACTTAAGTATAATTATTCGAAATCTTTTTTCTTAATAAGTTACAAATAAAAAAAATATTCCTATTAACAGAACATATATTTTTACTTACGGAAAAATATAAAAAAAATTACATTTGTGTATAATGCATGATTATTTTTGGCTTTCACACAAATACATCGAAGATAAGAGTAGGAGAAAACATCAAAACGATGTTTATTAATTTGAATTAACAATTAAATCTAATCGCTACAAATAACAATGACAACAATAGGAAGATAAAAAAAAAATACATCAATAAAAATAACGACAATGATGATTATGATTTCAAACAATGGTGAAGACAACATTAATAAAAAATTATAGATAAGTTAGACTTCGTGAGCAGTCAAAATAACTTAAAAATTGAAAAACTGTTCGTTTTTGGTTTTCTAACACAAGTTTATTCATTTACATTATTTAACCATAACTTTTAATTAACCATATATATAGTTTATTATATAATATGTGTTTCTTCTTTTATTAAACTAAAGGAAAATTTTGAATGTTGCAGCATAATTTCAATAAAAGTAACTTTTAAATCATAAAAAAAAAAAAAATAATAATGATCACGTGCGATGCTGGTGCAACTTCCTAGTATTATTAAAATCATTAATTCTTCCGTAGGAGGAAAAAAATTACTAATGAAAATATATCCATTGATTCTTCATTAACAAATGAATGCTACAGTCACTATATTATTGTTATAATCATAAATGCCTTTTATTAGAACCTAATTCCTAGATTGTTTTTCCTATACTATTTTGGAGAAAATGGTTTTAGCTGTAGAAGTTACAACAATTCAATCTCTTTTCACATTGCTTTTTGCACTGCATTCTGTCATGGCAAAAGACAGTGATATGAGATTGCCTAGTATTAACTTCCTGCAATCACATCGAGTTTCAATCGCTTTATCACTTAATAAATTCTCGTTTAGACTCTTATATAAAAGGCGGAAAACTTTAAATTTTGACCAGTAATGGCAATCGTCTATTTGTAGTTCTCTTTTCCACATAGGCTAAGGTAAGTTACATTATTTCGCTATTTGCCTTCGGTAGATGAATTTTTTTCTATTATTGGTATCCCAATGTCGATGTCCCAATAATGACTCATTGGTCGGTCTTCGACATTCACACGGAGCACGGCTGCCACTTGTCCCAACCTCTAACCGGGCTTTTACCTAATGACGTATTAATTGTGTAAAAAGCCCTCACATCGATTGTTACCAGATTTTCCAAAAAAGAAAAAAAGAATAAAAAAGAACACCGGAATGCATTATGGTAATCCAGACCGGCTTCGCTCAAAGCCACTGTTCCACCCTCAAAAATCCCTATATAATCGAGTTTCCTCCGAGCAATACTCACCACTAACGCCCACCAAACAAAAAACCCTTCGCCCCCATTTTCATCGTATATTTTATCTTAACTAATTAATTCTCAATCTCATAAACAAAAATGGTGCCTCCTCAGGGAAGGAAGAAGGCGCAAGGCCGTCGAAAGATCGATATAAAGCTGATCGAAGACGAAAATGCACGAACTGTAACCTTTTCGAAGCGTCGTGCCGGGATTTTCAAGAAAGCAGCCGAGCTTTCAATCCTATGTGGCACCGAGATCGCCATCATAATCTTCTCCCACAGCGGCCGAGCCTACTCGTATGGTCACCCGAGCGTTGAATCGGTTGCGGGCCGCTTCTTCAACAGGAACCCGCTCCCAAATTTGCACGGGCCCAATAACGACGAGCTGGCCCACCTTAAAGAGGAGTGCGAGCGGAGGGCCCAAGTACTGGAGGTCCAAAAGAGGAGAGCGAAAGAGCTGGAGGCAGAGCTGGAGCGCTTGGGTTTGACTGACGAGCAATTGGGCCAGCTCGACTCTGACCATCTCCAGGATATCAAGGAGAAGATGGTGAAGCTGAGGGACAGTATGCTCAGGCGGCAGGTTCAGGATGAGGCCGGTCCCTCGGGTATGGGTACAATTGCTGCTGCTGATGGTACCACTGTTTTTGTTGCTGCTGGTAATTATATTGATCTAGAGAAAGAAGAGAGAGAAGAAAGGGAGTGGTGTGGTGATTCTGGGATTCCGGCTGACTGGCTGAAGCTGTGATTTTTGCTGAGTTGTTTGTTTGTCTGTTTTTTTTTTGTTTTGTTTTTTTTTTTTTTTTTTTGAAAAAAATTTATGAGAACTGGTGGTGGTTTGTTTGAATTAATAATGGGATTTTTTCGCACCAAAGTTGAAATAAAAGTTCTTGTTGCCTTTTGGCAAAATCATGTGTCTTGTGTTTGCATTGTGTTCCTTTATTGAACTTTTTGGTTATAGAGTAAATTTTTTTTTTTTTGTTTTATAAACAGTTGAGGATTCAAAACTTTCTTTTTTCGCGGAAAAAAAAAAGAATCGCACAATGATTGCACGGTGCAATGACCACATTATATGCAAGATTGCACAATGGTCGCACAATATAATTGCGCAATGATCATACCATATATTGCATCGCATGATCGCACAATGATTGCAAAATCGATCGCACAATCGTTTGCACCTTGTGGGGTGGAAAACGTAACTTTTCAATTGGCAGGTTGAAAAGCTTCAGAGCACTTGTATATCGGGTTTGGGTACGATTGCTGCTGCTAATGGTACTACTGTTTTTTATGCTAATGATATTGATATGGAGAAAGAAGAAGGGACAGGTGTGGTGTATCTGGAGGCCGATTGACCGAAGCTGTGAGTTGTTGTTTGGTCCTTTTTTTTTTATCTTTCGTTTATTGGTTTCGTAAATTAAATTTTATTTTATACACCAAATATTCAAAACTTTTCTAACCCTATATTGCGCGAAAAAAAAAATCGCACAATGATCGCACAAAATGACCACATTATACATGATCGCACTATGGTCGCACAATGACCACATTATATGCATGATCTCACAATGGCCGCAAAATCGGATCGCATAATGATTGTACAATCGATCGCACTTCATGCGGGTGAAAAACATAACTTTTTCATTTGTCTGGGCGAAAAGCTTGGGGAAGTTCCATTGTAGGGCATGATTTTTGGGTATTGTGCCATAATAGAGTCTACATTTCTAACTTTTTCAATTGAGGGTTTCACTTTTAATTTATTCTCAATATCAGATCTACTTTTACATTCTACTTTTCAATTTAAGGCTCCAGATCACTTTGTATTTTGACATAATTATGTAAACCATAATACTTTTTTTAAAAAAAATATTTTTAAGCACTTATAATAAAAAATATGAAATATCATAATAAAATTATCTAATAAGATAATTATTTCATAATTTATGTTTATCAAAAACTTAATGAAAATTATTTTAAAAGTTAAAAAAAATAAATTTTAACTTAATTTTATTTTAAAAAATAAATCAAAGTAATTTTACAAAAGATATTTATAATTATCTATAACATAAGTTTTAAAATAATAGTATTTTAGTTTATATATTTATGTAAAAATATAAAATTAGTTGGTGTCTTAAATTGAGAACTATAATGTAAAAGTATGACTTTAATTGAGAATAACTTAAAATTGAAACTCTCAAATGCAAAAGTTGAAAATTCAGGTCTTATTGTGCACATAAATAAACAAAATTTTATATATTGCATATTATTTTATTATTTTAATTTTGTAATTTAAAATATTAAATTAGATAATGCAATTTGTAATTTAGAGGGACCACCCAATTAATCAGTTAGCAAAAATATTACTATTATTTTCATTATTATAAACAATTGTTTATGTGATTTTAAGATGTTTCATTATAACATATCCATAAACTAATATTATAGAAAAATCACTTAATAAGACGGGAAAATAATAGTATTGTAGAATAAATCTCTGAAAAAAGTTTGCAATATAATTTTTTATAAGTATATAAATGTTACATGCAATTTAATGTAAATTTATAATTAATTAGTATTCGTAGTAACTATTATATAATAAATTAATTTAAAATTATTATTACACCTGATTAATGTGCAATGTAACAGTTTTCTTTTACATTAATTCAAAACAATATGCGGGAAAATTTTATAATTTATATTAATTTGATGGCCTATAATTTATTTATATAACTTTAATTAGTCATGTATCATATAATAGCCATTGATGAAGCGATATCTAAATAAACTTGGATGCACCGAAAAAATAAGAAATATTGATATATACAAATATAAGTTGATATTTAAATTAAAAAAAATAATATATAGGAAGGATATGTATATAAATTTCTTAAATATATGCCATACATGTACATAATTTTTTTTATTTTTTTTTTGAGAACATGTACATAATTTTACTGATATAATACTGTTTATACATTTACTTGCAAAGTGAATCCCATTACATATGAACACCATATATGGTAAATAAAATTATGTAGCACAGAAAAATCATATTTTATATTACGATATACGATATTTTATATTGATAATCATGTTACGCATTATCAAAAAGTTTCCATAAAGAAAATGTGTGCTTACCTTTTTTTCTCATTGTGTAAATAATGTTACACAATCCATTATGAATTGGTATAATTTTCTCGATTCTCTATTTGTAGAACTAATGGGCTCATTCTCGATAGGCCGGCCCAACTGTTACATCGTCAATGGGCTTATGAAATCAAGTGGCTACTAACACCTACATCAACCACACACCTAAATGGGCTAACAAAATACGCGGCCTCTGTTGAAATGTTTGAAAATATGCATAGTGATAGTGTCACATATAATTTGGTTTTTCTGCGTAAAAATCAGTGATAATAAAATTAGTTATAAGAAGCACCTCTTACTTCCAAATATTTGATAAAACTAAATTTTTCTTACTGGTTTCTGCAAATTAGGTGATCAGAGTAAGAAGTTTATGTTTGTGTAATCTGTAAAACATTGAATGTGAGAACTGAGGCAGCTGGAGAAGAATTTGATACTCGTATCGGTTCATGATTTTGCAGCCGAACCCATCGACTTTATGGCCTCATCATTGAGCATCAGCTCGAATAAGTTGATCCATACAATAACACACTATTCAATGTGTGAACGAGTTGAAAAATAACCACACATATATAGAATGATTGTTTAGTATCATTTAATTATACGCATAAAAGAATGAGAGTTGGGTTGAGTTACATTTTGAATTAGGTGATCGGATATGAAATGATTCAGTCAGTCATAACCGGTTCAGCTGGATCGAAACTCATCCAATCACGTCCTAAAGGGGTGATTGAATATAGATTAAACCGGTTATGATCCAACTGGGTGAGTTAAAGTTAATTATTTTAAATAAAGTAACGTAAAATTAAATAAAATTTAAAATGTAATGATTAAAGTTGATATGATGTAAAAGTAAGAGAAATATTATAAGAAGTGATATGCAGTTAAAATTATGTGAATTGATGAATAGTGAACTAAAGTTGATGTGATGTGTGAGAATAATTAATTGATATTAGTTAAATGTATTTATAAAAGGTAGTGGAGTTGGGCTGAGTTGGATTTCGAATTAGATGATTGAATATGAAATGACTCAACCGATTATAACCCGTTGAGTTGGATCATGACTCATATTCAATCACGCCCCTAAATTGCACAATAAATTATACAGATGAAAAGTTGAAAGGAGGTAGCATCTACAATTACAAGCTACAAGTACCATTACTACAAATTTTATCCATCAATATCTGAGTCATCACCAAAATACAAATCATCCTCATCAAACTCCCCACATTCCTGCAAATGGTTTATCATGTAAGGAGAAACGAGCAATAATGACCTATCTCATATCATGAGATGAAATATTCCAAGAACAGCAAAGATGAGAAAAGCAATACATTTGTTTACCTTTCTTTTAATGAAGTCTGCCATAGCAAGATCGAACTCTGCTCGTTTTTCTGTGGCAATATCGTAGTATTGCACCTTTTCCTAAGACCAGAATTGTCAAACATCAGATTAAGAGAACTCAAAACATCCGCATGACTATCTGTAATTCAAGTTAAAAGTTTATGAAGTCCATTATTATTCGAGCTAAATGAAAACTGCAGATTGAATAACTAACTGAAAACATCCGATTCCAAACCTCGTATGTCATTGTTTTCCACTTCTCTCCACACGCTTTGCCAATCTGCAAAAAAAAAAAAAAAAAAAAAGAAAAAATGTAATCGTTCGAATATGAAGATAATTATCAGCAACCACTACCTAAACTAAAGGATTTGATAAAACCATCTAAGGTTTTCCAAAACTACGTACATCGCGCATTGACTTAATATCTGGATTTTCCTCTTTAAAATCCTTACGAAAATCCTCCCTGAAACGTTTAACATTAAAAGGGAATGTATCGTTAAGATATGACACTCCAAAACAGTGTCTCCATTTCAAAGGGAACCACAAAACCATCAACTAGTTCATATGAAGAATGTAAACAAAAAAAAAAAATGTACAACAAACAAAAGTATATGCATTTTGAAGCCATGCTTTTTCGACAGATATGCATAATTTCAAATCGATACGTTAAATTCTAAAAAACAACATAAACAAAAGTATAACAATGTGAAAAATGGGAAGATCGAAAGGTTGGAAGAAGAAAGGATTTTTTGCGTTCTTTTTCCTCAATGATCGAATTGCTCGAGATCATACCCACGGAAGAGAGTAAGGGAAGGGGGAAGTTCTTTTCCCTTCCTTTTCCTTAGTTTTCAGCCTTACCTCTTTTCCAAGGGTGATGTCACTATAACAATGTGAAGCCATCCCAAACAAGAATATGTGTATGAAGAATGTAAACCAAATACGTGTAGATACAAAGATAACAAATTAAAATTCAGCTTCTTCTCGGCCACATTCTATCGAGCTCCACACGAACAACACATTCAGAACAAATGAAGAAAGATGCAACTTTCTTTTTTGGAAAGATTTAGCTTTTTAACCCCTCACAATTTATGTAGAAGCACATCCTTTCTCATGTATATCCGAATTGAATCAGCAATTAAAAAAAACAGTTTGATCGGTGAAAAGTGGCTGACACGATCGAACAATGTGAATACAAAGCATAAAATTCAATCAAGCACGAAGATTAAGTTCGAAACCATCTGCACAAACAAAGCGAAAATGCGTACAAGAAATAGAAAAAAGCCGTCGGAGGCTTTTTAGGTTTAATGGAGTCGATTTTCGCTGCCCTTTTTTTCGCGGCGGCTTTGGCCCTCCGCCCGGAGTTCTTCATGTTCACGGAATTCACCGTCGGAGCAATCTTACTGAAATCACGGTAACAGAGAAGAAGAAAAATACTCATTAGTTAGAAATTGAGTGTGCAGTAAACGAAATGGAGAGAGGTTTAAGTTCATGTTCTATCATTACCCATCGGTTTTGGGGGAAGTTGAAGCCGAGATCTATCATTACCCATCGGTTTTGGGGGAAGTTGAAGCCGAGGAGGAGCTTCTGCACCTCGTGGAGCTTCTCGTCAACATATTGCCGGCGCTATGGCGGCGGCCGGAGGAGGAAACTGCAGCGGCGCGTGGATTGTTGGTGGGAGTGAGAGTGGTGAACAAAAACTACAAAATTCAGAAGCCCACTCGGCGTGTACTGATGATAGTCAGATAGTGAGCATTGCGCAAAGGTACCTTTTTCCCAATTCTTGGACTTTTTGTTCAATGCTTCCATTTAATATTAATATATTAACTATATAATTTGTACATATGCCTCGGATGAGTTCAAATCCATTTAATAAACAAGCTCGATTAGTTGTTTGTTTGAATCGACTCGTTTAAGTAAACGAACGAGTCTAACTAAATTGAGTTGTGCTGCTTGCTAACAATCAATTCGAACAACAATA